CTCGTCCCCGTACATGGACACGATGGCGCTGACGCCCTGGAAGTAGTCCCGGTTCCGCGAGCAGAAGCCCGCGTCGAAGCACTCCTTGAACACCTGAAAACCTTTGGGCCCCTCGTCGCGCGCCCACACCGCCATCGTCCGCCGGCCCCCGCGTCGTCGTCGCCATCGTCGTCGCCATCCCAGCCATCCCATACGCATCGCTACTACAGTCGGGGCGTTGACTTGAGGAACCTTAAATAAGGAGCGAGGCCCCTTTTTCCCATAAGTTCAATTCGATTTCCCATGGTAAACCTGAGGAAAACCAGAGGCACAGCGTAAAGCAACTAAGGAACACGGAGCCCCTCCCCAACGAAAAGGATTCCTTCTTCAGCGCCCCGACTGTAGCATCATCACCGTCATCAGAGCCACAACCACTGGCACAATCGGCGTCGCTATTGTCGTCGTCGTCATCATCACACCGATAACAATCGTCACCAACAGCAACGACAGCATTATCTTCATCGTCAACATCCTACTCCTCCTCCTCCTCATCATCCTGATCCTCCTCCTCCTCCTCCTCCTCCTCCTCCTCCTTCCTCATCATGGTCGTCGTGACCATCATTGTCATCCGCATCTTCCTTCTCCTCCGCCTCATCATGCTCCTCCTCATCCTCCGCAGCATCATCATCAGCATCAGCATCATCATAATCATCATCATCAGCAGCAGCAGCAGATGTATCATCATCAGCATCAGAAGCATCATCATCATCATCATCATCATCATCATCATCATCATCATCATCATCATACGCATCATCAGCATCAGCATCAGCATCATCAGCATCATCAGCATCATCATATTCAGCACCGCCATCTTAATCATCAGCATTATCATCAGCATCAACACTATCTTCATCCTAATCATCCTCATCATCCTCATCATCCTCATCATGTTCATCATGTTCATCATGGCCATCATCATAATCATCAGTATCGTCGTCATCATCATCAACATCACCAGTATCATCATCACCACCGTAATCATCATCATCACCATCATCATCACCATCACCACCCTCGTCATCCTAAGCATCCTCGTCATCCTCATCATCTTCAGCATCAGCATCACCTGCATCCTCCTCATCATGATCCTCCTCCTCATCATCAGCATCAGCATCCCCACATCGCATCATCCCCGTCAGCAGCATCCTCAGCATCCTCATCATTATCAACAGCAGCATCATCATCAGCAGCAACACCAGCACCAGCACCAGCACCAGCACCAGCATCACCAGCATCAGCAGCATCGGCAGCATCACCAGCACTCGGATGATCACCATCACAGTCATCGCTTGGACTGAGCGCTGCAAAGCCGGATGCCTGCGATTCCGCGGGCGCGCCGCTGCGAGGCCCACGCCAGTTGCGGTGGCGGATCGCGCCCGCGCGAAGGCGACGTAAGAGTTAAATCGGGCCTGTCCACCTACAGGGGGATTTTCGACGATAAATAAAAAATACCCCAAGAATATCCCAGCGAGGTCAAAAAATAGTCGAAAAATAGTCCCCAGACTATGTTTGGACTATGTTTGAACTATTCTGAGGGTATTTTCGTTTTT